TAACTGGTCCGTAGTTTCCTGGGTTGTTTTTATTCCCCTTTTTGTAGATGGACACTATATTTGCCCTTTTCCAGTCTTCTGGAATCTCTCCCATCTCCCATGATTTTCCAAAGATAATAGCTAGAGGCTCAGATACCTCCTCTATTAGCTCCTTGAGTATTCTAGGATGCATTTAATCAGGCCCTGGTGACTTGCAGGCATCTAACTTTTCTAAGTGATTTTTAACTTGTTCTTTTTTTATTTTATCTGCTAAACCTACCCCCTTCCCATTAGCATTCACTAGGTTAGGCATTCCTTCAGACTTCTCCGTGAAGACCGAAACAAAGAAGTCATTAAGCATCTCTGCCATTTCCAAGTTTCCTGTTACTGTTTCTCCCTCTTCACTGAGCAATGGGCCTACCCTGTCTTTGGTCTTCCTCTTGCTTTGAGAGCATCCGGAAGAGAACTGTGAGTTCCCACAACTTAGTGGGAAATTAAGAGAAATTTTTGACTGCAAAGTAGCAAGCAAAAGAGACGGGAGCTGTTTCTCTGGCTCTGTTTAAGTTTATTTTCTCTCTTGTTGTCTATTTTACAGGAAAGAAAACTAACCAAAATGGACAGTATCAGTATGGCTGGATACAACACGTTCTCTAGGAGTGCTGCATTTAGTGTAAACTGCCACAAGGTGACAGTGTTTCAGAGCATTACAGGTTTTACAGTACCTACCTTGTGTTCTTAGGATGCTGTACTGTGAAGACAGACTGCAGATGCAAAGGCTGCAAGCCATAACTTGAAAGGTAAGAGTCAGCCTCTGCAGCAGTAGAGGCAAGCCAACTGAACTGGAGAGCTCCAATTGTAACATTCACTGGGAACCCAAAGAACGGGTCTTTTCTAGATAGTTCCTACATTACTGTTTTCTCCAGCCACTAACTTTTGCTATTCTCTACCAGCCTACGAGGCCTTGCCCACACCAACTGTCAAGACAAACAATTACTCTGGCTCCGGTAGGTAAGTCACATTTTAAATATTTATGTCTAATTGGAGAAGCTGGACTTCAGAGACTGGGGATACAAGAGGACTGTGATACCTTCCAGTATTGTCATATTCACAAGCAAAAATCTTTGCTGGAGTCCACTGAAACACTTTCAAACAGAACTCTTTTCTGGCAAACACCTTCTAAAAATAAGCACTTTTTAAAGTAGGCAGATGTCATAATACCTGAAAACAAACACTGGCAGATTTAAATAAATAAATAATGTGTAAAGTGCTTCTTTGGGAAGAAAGTTATTGTAGATATGAAAGTTGCCTGTTGTACATCAGTGGGGTTTGCTCACATAAGCAAAATGCATTAGAGATTCTTACAGAAGTAACGGCTGTGATCAATTCGCAGCACCCGGTGCCGATAATGACATATTGGATTTTCTCATATGGAATTCCAGCCTCTTGGAACACATAGGAAGCATAAAAATACATCTAGGAAGAAAAGAAAGGGTAAGTGAACTGTAAGAGAAGTTGCCCTGGAATAGCACACCACTGCCAGTCCCACCCCCTCAGACGCCATGTTACTTCTCCCGATCTGGAGATTAACACTGTCACCCAGAGAACTGGCTACTTGGGCTGCCATTCAAACTGCTTCTCCACAGTGTCCATATGCAATCCATTCAGTAATGTGCGTTCAGCAGCCAAACACCTCATATTTGCATCTAGATGGTAGCAATGAAATGCTCTCTGCAAACAATTGCAAAACAGATCCGTAAAGTAACTGAAATGTTATTTCAATAGTGCAGGCAAAGAGAACTCCATCAACTACAGAGCTCTCCCCAGAATAAAAATGACCCTTTCCATTATGCCCAATGTACCAGGTATGACATGGGCCACCCATAAGCAATGCCAGGCATTCCCTGCCACTCCATGTTTCCTGATATCTCAGAAGACCAGTATGCAAATATTTTTCTTAATGCATTTACGTTCCCGTTTTCTAGTTTCTTGAGCATCTCAGTCTGATCTCTCCTCATCCACCCTTTCCTGCCCATGAGTGGATGGCAAAAGGTTTTTGCCCCATCCACTTAGGGGGACATCTGAGCAAGGACATAGCCTTTGTACCCACCTCTCTTTTTAGGCCACCATTTTACCTGCTCTTATTTCAATTCTCTTCATCCATTCCTCCTGCTCTGGTAGATTCACATTGCTCTCTGGAGATCACCAAGAGGAACTCTGCAAGAGAAGCAGGCTAACCTGCCCTCCCCTACAGAACGGGGGGAGATTCTCAGCCTCTGTTTGCCCAAAAAGTGACAGTCTTGCTTGCATTGTTGTCTCACATCTGATACCTGCTGATGAAATGGTGGCTATCATGCTTACCGAGTCATTTCCACAGAGCTGCATGGCACTGCTCAGCACAATGATACTTATCAGCTGCCATCTTACAGCTGGATTCTGGCACAGCTCCCACGGACTCTTTGCCCTCTGACCTTTCATGGCAGCCTGTTCTGCTAGCATTTCCTCCAGCTCACTGCTCAGGTCACCATTACCTCTCAGCTTCTGCAATGCTGTAAGGGAAAAGGTGCAGTTTATCTACTATATGGAAGCACTTTAACTTCATCAATTCATCTCCCTGTGGGAGTGAGGGACTGGGTGGCAAGTGACAGTCACAGAAAGCAGTGTAGTGGTAGGACTTTGTGATCCGACAAACCACCTTTGATAAGCAGAGAAGGCAAGATGTGCTATACTTGATGAAGCTATTAGAAGGTCTGTGAGACTTTGGGGAGAAGGGGTGACAAAATCCATGCAACTTTCTTACCAGGGAATATATCCAACCAGTGCAGTTTCAGCTACCATGCTTCTGACCCTTATAGAGAGAATATTACTCTATGGTAGCTCTCCAATGAATCTAAGGGAGTTAAGATTTTTTGGTGCACAGCACATGTGTAATGGAAACTAATTCCAACCTGGTCCACATCTGGAGATCTGTATGTTACAAATGTCAATAAATTTCCTTATATGAAGTGGATTCAGATTTGGTCACTGAAATCTTCATCTAGCCTTCATTTTACATCCTAGTTACAGACTACATCCAAAGTTCTCTAGGTCTCCTTAAACAGAGAGCAGGTTACATGCTTATGGCCTTTGGACTCACTATATGTAGTGAAAAAGTCATTTGCAGCAACAAGTACCTTAACAGGTCAAAAAACAGTCATCATGTAAACTGCACTCTAGTTTGGAAGAAAGAAATAACGACATATTTACCCTGCCTGCTCTTTGCGTGACACTTACGGTAATTTACCATATAACATAACTGAGAGCAACATTCTCAAAAGGTGGAGGCCCCGGTCTGTGCCCAGTCCAAGTGCACTGTTGTTTGCACCTACAATTACTGCAATTGTCCACACAAATGGGGAGATGGCTGCCCACCTCGCAGGATCCAAGTGCACATGCAGCTGAGGCTGCACTTTTGTGTACGCATTTTATGCACAAAGAACATGGGCCTCTATTTTTGAAAAACGTCACCCTAAATGTTCAGCAGAAAGTGGCATAGACATTGATTGGGCTAAACCATTTGGTACTCGTTAAAGGAGGCCAGCAGCACTACCGGACAGAATATTGACTGTGGAAAAAACAATTCAAGCTGCTTGCTCCAGGCCAAACATGCTGAACTAAGCTATGTAACATAGTAAGAATGTACAACAAAACTAACATCAGTTTCTTTGCACTGTCCGTAAATCTTGCCCCCTGAATCGGACATTGACACGATCACTTTACACTCACCACAGATGCAGGATTCCTTGTCACCTCGGTCAATCAAGAGGTACCTAGGGCTTTCTGGTAACCAAGGCAGAGTAATCAGCTGGATTAGAGCAGGCACCACATTGCTAGCTAAAAGAAGAGGCCAGCTCTCCTCTCCCCCTAATAGTTCTCTGAAGAAAAATAAAACATAATTAACATGAATCAATCAAATGTTTCATAAGACAAAATACAGTGTTCTGAGGTGGCTGGGTGAACTGGTGGCAGCACAACACGCTGTAGGTGAGCTGGGTTTGACTCACTCTCGGGGCTAGTAGAGCATTTGTGCATCACACAAGAGAAGCAGCTGAGTTTGAAAGTGATGGTGATATGGCCTCCTGCCTCACAAGTGACTCCTTGATAGGAGATATATGAAACAACAATGCCATTTGCCTTCACCTTAGAGGGAATGGCACCTGCCTGGAGGTTAGTTTGGTGCTGAGATGTGACAAGGGAGCAGGAGGTCAGAGGCATAATGAAGGGTTAGAGAACTCCATCTGAACAGGCTTTTGGGCCACAACCAGGGACACCAAAAGCTCACGCTGTGGTGCTGGGGGACAGTGGGTCACACCACAACTTCCCACCAACCCATGCACCAAAACTATAGCCCATCTTGCTGTTTTTATATGTTGGACAGCTGCTTTTAAGGGACAAGGCAATCCTGCCAACCTGGAGAGATGGGACATGATTAAAAAATCTCCTCACTGGGAGAAGGATTCATCCACAGGTCTAGATGGGGAAATAAGATATCCAAGGACAGAGGAGTTTGGGGGAATTCCAGAACAATGAGCCCTCCTTGGAACATTTTAAGCACAAGGGAAGGAAGAGTGCACTTTCAGAACGTGTCTGGCTCAAAGAGGGTGGTGGTGAAGACTTCTATAGAGCAGAAGAGGTCTCTCTTTCTGGGCTGAAGATCCAATGCTGTAATCATTCTGGTACTGATGGTTTTTCATTCCACTCTTGAGGTTTCACCTATATACATTTTCCTTTGTTCACATTTCACACTTGGCTGCCTGTTCTGCATCTCCTGGGATGGTTGGATCAACCCCAATGATTGTCACACACAACAGGGAAATTCTACTGCTACTTCAGGATAGCCAGATCAAAGTAAGCAGTGTACAGTTTAATGTACAGGGTTGGTCCAGGAACACTGGGGCAATGCATATATTTTGGACTGACAGGTTTACAAGTTGACCATATTCAGGAGGCCCTTTCTGAAACATATGGAGCCTCTTCACACACAAGGCAAAATGCAAGTTGGAATAAAAAAGTGCAACTCCCCTTGATGTTTCTGGGCCAAAACCAGAGGTGGCATAAATGGTGGTGCAAGTTACACACTGGGTGTAAGGGGCAAAGGAGCGTAACTTGAAGGTGGCAGCGTGGCTTAATTGATGGAGCATAGGCCTGGGACTCAGGAGACTGAGGTTCTATTCCTGGCTGTGATCGTAGGCAAGTCATTTCACTGATATGTGCCTCAGTTTCCTCATATGTAAAATGGGGATAATGACACTGACCTAATTTATAAAGTGCTTTCAGCTCCACTGGTGAAGGGCGAGGTATAGTTATTGCACCACTTTGATATTCAATGGGTATGAAAAAAAGCAGCTTTTGCACCCAGGGTGGCAGTGGTGGGGTTGTAGCAGGAAAAGCAACTAACACAAAAGTCTTGCCCCAGATACTCACTTACATCTTCTCCCCTAACACGCAAAGCCAAATTCACAGGCACATTTCCCACTGAAGTCAATGTCACAGCAGAATTTGGTCCACAGAGTCCCAAATTCATGCAAGTTACGCTCATTTTGTACATCCATTGAATGCCAGTGAGTGAAAACAGGGCTCTCACTTCCACCCAGAGAATTTACACAGGGCTATCCATAAATTAGGTGACACATTCGAGGGTGGGTGGGTCCCGAATTTTGCATGTTTATTTCAGTGTCACAAAGTGTTACAAGCAGTGGGTGGGTCCTGCAAAATCACCAAAAAATCTGTTATATGATTTATGGACAGTCCTCATCATCACTTATGCCACTGCCGAATTTGGTCCCTAGGCTCAAAACCATCATGCTGTCCCGGGTATACGTAGGCATTTGAGCAGGAGAAGACGGGAGGGGAAAGAAAGAAGAGAGTTAGCGAATCAGAAACATAGTGGAGTCTATACATTACCTAATTCCAACAACTTGTCCCAGCACCAACCCCAGGGCAGTAAATGATGCAGAAGTCAAGGTCACTGCTCCTCTGACCTTCTTGGGAGCACTTTCCCCCAGGTACATGGGCTGAATGTTCATGCTCACACCTGGACAAGACAAACACTGACCTCAGCTTAGACTCTCAAGACGTAAAAGAGAAAAAAGGAAAATTAAACTAGCCCCTCGATGAGGTAGTTAGCTGTATTCTCTCTGCTTGTTACAGAGTATGCTGCTTACACGGATCTCTCAATGCCTATTATTTACACCAATATATTTCCATTCCCTCTAATTCACTGTGTCAGTTTTGGTAACTACTGTATGTATTTATGTGTTTGAAAGTACTGTGGGCTAATGAAAAGCAACTTCACATTTTTAAAGTAAGCGACCAAGATTATCATTACTGTACATTATTAAAGCTGCAGCTATATTGGTAATTTTTGGTGCCCTCAAAGTGAGTGACTGACAGTGCTGGCTAGAGGCAGATAAGGGGTAAATTTTCTGCCACACCTCTAAATGGCTTCCATTTGTGTCATGCAAAACAGTGCATGCACATATCTCTGTGTTATACAGATGCAAACAGCTGTATGCTCTTTAAAAAGTCTAACCCTTGCATACAAGCCAATGTTGGAATTTGTAAACACAAAAGCTTTTCAAACAGGTTTGCAGGAGGGGAAGCACATTTTTTCATTAGTGTTCACATAGATGCTAAAATTGTTCAAGTGCGGAGGGGGTGTTTGCACCAGCAAAGTGCAGGTATGTGTGTGTGGAACTGAATGTGCATAAGTGGAGACCAGGGGCTACGATCAGGCCTACATGTGGGTAAGCTCTGTGAAAGATTTCCAGCATAGTTTGGCCTATACACTAGAATATAACCTGCAGCACTCCCTGCTGTTCCATTCTTGGCACTATCTTGGTCTTATTATTTTGTATTATAGTAGAGCCTAGAGGCTCCAGGGAAGATCGAGGCCCCATTGTGCTAGGTGTAGTAAGAGACAGTCTCTGCCCTAAAGAGCTACAATCTAAATAGACAAGACAGACAAAAGGTGGGAGAAAGAAACTACTGTTATTCCCACTTTACAGTACAGGGGAACTGAGGCAAAGGAATTAAATAGCTTACCCTAGATCTCACATTAAGGCAGAGCTGGGAATTGAATCCAGGTCTCCTGAATCCCAGTCCAGTGCCTTAACCACAAAACCATCCTTTTTATTAGGGGCTAGTATGAGATCAAACATATTTAATTTGTGACAATATTGGATGTGGGGACCCACATCTTCAAGTGAGCTGCTAGTGCACAAACTCTTCTGTGCACATGAAGCAACTGTCATTAACCAAGTCAATCTGGGACTATGTAAAACAGTCTCAGGTGGTAAGCTGAATGATACAGAAATTCCATATGTGCAAGTAATTCTTGTCACTACAAATAGCCTTTAGGAAAATTATCTTGTGTGTGTGCATGCGCGTGTGTGTATGTTTCTGGATATTAGGCACAGACTTTGATAAAGGCTTCTGCATAATACGTTTCAGAAGCATATTGTGAAATGTTACATGGAAGAAGCCGTATACTGGTTGACAATCCAGGTTTATGTCACCTCTTAATGGCAGGGAAAGGAAACTGACATGTTCTTTCGTGCCAGGGGTCATGAGTTAAATGCCAACTGCAGCACCAGGGACTGCAGAGCACGTCAGAAACCGTTTTAATGCCACAGACATTTATATTTGTACTGGTGTTTCTATAGTCCTCATTACCACAGTATCACTGTTCCTTACCAGCATTGATTCCAGTGAAAAATCTGCCGAGCATGATCATTTCGAAGGATTTGGCCATCCGGCTGAATCCTGACAAGACTGCAGCTATGATCACAAACGCGTTATTCAGCAGCAAGGATGTCTTCCTTCAGAGAGAATAAAAACAGAACTGAAGGCTCAGCTTTCACCAGGTCTGGTTATCAGAGCCAATGGTGGGTCACAGCAGTCCAGTTTTCCAAATTTGAAAGTTTAAGTCAGGGTGCCCGTTTCTATAGCAGGACATTCAGATGGGCACTTAGGGCCCAAATACCCCTTCTGGTGCTTACATGGCAAGTATCCCGTTATGAAAACTGGGTTTGACATTGGCAAATAAACTGTCATCTGCATTGCCCAGTGCATGGCAGAGTTAGGGATTGTTCACCTGGAGGGGAATCCCATCCATTGTGAACTAAGATAACTGATGATTGCAGGACCAGATTCAGGGAACCAGGAGGGCATCATCACATTGATAATCCTGATTCGTTGCTCCTGCTCTCACACTTAACAAAATCCCTTTTTAATGAAACAGAAGACTCATAAAATCATTATGAACATCCCCAAGAAACAGGGTGAGTTCTGGACGACAGCACCGCTACTTAGCCCATGATTACCTCCTGAAATGGTAAAACTGGTTCCTTCATTACGGAAGGGGGAGCTGCAATTTTTACCAAAAGCACAGCACGGGAACACCATACTAGAGCTGGACAGAGAGGCAAGTACAGTGTAACTTTCTGTGGTTTCACGATAAAACCACTGATTGTTCTTTCAGAGAGAAGGGCAGGTTATACCATGTGTGAAATCTGAGGATAGGGAAATACAGATTTTTTTTTAATAAACTCCCAAGCACAGGGAAGAAAAGGAACTTGGAAGACTCAATGGATACCCCTTCTTGTAAGCACCTTATGCTCCTCAAGCTCTTTCCTACCCTTTCCTACTCTCCATTTTGGAAAAAAGCTCTCCATTAATTCTGTGCTTGTTTCCTGCTTAAATTGTGACAATAACATAGGTGAAGAGAAGCTGGTGTCTGCACACTTGCCTGCTGTATCTTATGTTATGCTGGTTGAGCAGAAAGCCATACCTAGATATTTTTCCAGTGGTGCAAAGTACTGTGCTATGGTGGATGATGAGAAGTGAAATGCTACCATTCAAGGTAGCTTCCTTCAAGGGCTAATCCCAGATTGTATGGGCTTGTTTTCTTAGGTTAAGAATGAACTTCATGATTTTCAGTTGAGTTGGCTAATTTGGAATTGGGCTCTTATCAGTGTAACATCCAAATGTGGTCGGCATTTTTAGATTAACGAAAAACAATCTACAAAGTTCAAGATGCAAATCCAAAGGCCTCTTACCTTCCCAGCTTGATTGCCATGGGTCCTGCAATGAGAGCTCCGGTGAGTCCTCCCAGAGAATAGACAGAAACAACGAAAGACCACACCAGCAATATCACACTGCTCTCTAGAGATGCACCTGTGCGTTCTAGCCATGTTTCATTTATAAACGTCTGAATGTACTGTAAGTGAAGGACAAGAGTCACTTTACTGTAGGATTAAAAATAAAGATCAATGAGAAATAGAAAAGGTTTTCTGTGTATTAGGTATGATTTATTTGATGATCATGACTCCAAAGTTCAGCTTGAAGAAAACATTCAATTCCAAGGTGTATTTTTGACATCCCCCTATAAAATTTTAGTTGTTAAGAAGCCATACTAGACAGATTGCCTTTACAAAGTGAAATTATCTTGCATATTTAAAAAAATTATCTAAATATATTTCATGGGCTCAATCCTGAATTCAGCAGGAAAGCTTGATTTCGAAGGGTGCAGGATTAACCCCTATACACGGAATGCTCCCAATAGCAAAATTAGAAGGGGTGCTCAGTACATAACTCATTTTAAACTAACCTTTCTCTCCCAATCATTTCATATCCCCAGAGTCACACCAGCAAGTTCCAGGTCCATTAGAACATCTAGCGTGTAATATGCGGTACATTTCAGTTACCACAGAGCCCCAAGATCGCTAGCCAGCAGGGAATCAGATAAGTGGCTGTCATGTATTATGTAGCCTGGTTTTGCAAATGTTTTAAAAAATATTATTTTATAAAGTAAGACAAATTTATCTACTTGTAAAAAATGTTCTTCTAAGACTGGAAAGTTTCAGAATTATATTTGCTAAAGTTATGCCTGATTCAAAAAGGTTCGGACTGGCAATCCTGTGGTCATAATCCCTTCTGGGTCTCAGCTGTAGCACCGCTAGCAGGATGCAACAGTTAAATCAGGGGTAGGCAACCTATGGCATGTGTGCCAAAGGCGGCACACGAGCTGATTTTCAGTGGCACTCACACACTGCCCGGGTCCTGGCCACTGGTCCGGGGGGCTCTGCATTTTAATTTAATTTTAAATGAAGCTTCTTAAACATTTTAAAAACCTTGTTTACTTTATATACAACAATAGTTTAGTTATATATTATAGACTTATAGAAAGAGACCTTCTAAAAACGTTAAAATGTATTACTGGCACGCGAAACCTTAAATCAGAGTGAATAAATGAAGACTTGGCACACCACTTCTGAATGGTTGCTGACCCCTGAGTTAAATTATTAATTATGTAAAGGACACAAATCCTTCCTTTACTTTCCACCTTCAGTAGTAGCTGACTGAAGGGTTTTGGCAAGATATGCCTGTTTTTTCCCAGACTGGTGGACCCTGAGGATCCCTGTAAGGACCACAGAGTTTAGACCTCACCAGATTCACTGTCTCAGAAAATGGCTGCAAAGGCCAGTAGAGCACTTACTGTAGTTGGAGCATTGATGATGGAGATGTTGTAGCCATACTGGAAAGTCCCTCCAATCCCAGCAGCACATATTGTAAGAAATAGGACCTTGCCTTGAAGCTGAGGTAAACAAAATACAAATATATTAAAAGGACAGAAAATGTTGATAGTTTTCCACTGCTGAAATGTAAAATGGTTCAACAGGACCTTGGCCCAATCATTTGTCTGGGATGGTTTGAATGATAATAGGTGAAGACAGGAGACATCATGCTGGCTCTAAAAAGGAAAGGTTCCAACAGACAAAATAATCACACAAAGAGATTTTAAATTTTAAGGTGCCTAAAAAATTATTTTAAGAAGTAATTGCAGTTAGTGAGTTCAGGGCTGGTTCTCGGCAGCAGTGCTGAGAATGGCCGACGTTTATATTGAATGTGGGCATTTCTAAAAGTCAGTTCGACCTTCTGGAAATATCACTGCACAAGCATGTTCATCTACTAGAGCTGCCACCAGTTCAACTCCACACTGCCATGATGAATGTATTCTACAAGGATTGCCAAAGTTTAAAACACAGTAACAATATCCATCTGAGGTTCAATGTCTCCCGCAGATAAGGGTTCCATAGGGTATTGGGGTTTTATTCCATAGCCCTTTACAGCCCTTTATTGTGAATTTCTGATTTGGGGGGATGCTATTTTTTCTGCCATCTCTTTCCTTCCACCTAGAATCATGCACCATTTTTCTCTTGATTTTTAATGGAAAGTCCTTTCTCTTTTCTGGTCATCTGAGGGTGCATCTTTCTTGTGCTCCTTTATATTTTGTACACTGCAGCAGATGAATTATTTCAGTTTCACTCTCTCCTGTCACAATTGGTTGCACAGCTCTTCTCTAGGGTTTCGCTATGCTTTCTCCTCACAGTTTGTGATCAGCAATTCTGTATCTGGCGAGGGTCTGCCTGTGTTTTTCATATTTACTGGAGTGAGGTATATGCTTAGGTGCTGGAACTAGGGGTGCTGCCGAACCCCCTGTCTTGGTTTCCATTCTATGCAGGGTTACAGTTTGGTTCAATGGCTCTCAGCATCCCCCTATAAAAATTGTTCCAGCACCCCTGCTTGTATGAGATTTGTACTTGTCTGTTTCACTGTGATTTTTAATCAGTACTTCTCAGTTACTGCTAGATTGTCTTTTAAAACCTGTCTCATGTCTTCAGTAGTATTCACTGGGGAATGGGACTGCCTCCTATGCTTGGGAAGTTGGTACCAGGGAGGCCTGCATGAGACGCTATGCAGGCTTGAAGAATATGATCAAGCTTTTCGTGGAGGTAGTAAGTGCTGCTCTAGGTGAGATGGCACCAGAGGCAGAGAACTCATTTTCTGAATGTCCATCAGCAAAGGGATTCATCTTTCCCCCCCCCTACTCTGAAATGGCCCGAATTTGTAAGGGACAATCCTACCAGTGGAGCTGTACACAACACAATGCAGTCAGGATGCAATTGACAGAACAGGAGATGTGCTGTGATACAGCAACACCGTGTGTGACGCTGCCCTCGGGGAAAGCGCCCCACAGCCACTGCAGGGTGCAGCGAAGAGCTCAGGGAAGTGCCCAGCGCGCCGCTGGCTCTTCGGGGCAGGGAACTGTGGGGCGGGGGAGAGCGGGTGCCCCTGGCTGTACGAACCCCACGGCCCCGCCGAGTGAAAGCCGAGCAGCTGCCGCCTGCGCTGCACTTGGGCTGGGGGAGGTTGAGTGAGGTAAGCGGGCCGGGTACTGCCGGGGGGAGGTGGGGGGTGCGGGAACCGGGCAGGGCGCTGCGCAGGGGAATGAGGGAGCAGGGCGCGGCGCTGCGCTGCGCTGGGGGGGGGCGGGAGCCGGGCAGGGCGCTGCGCTGCGCTGGGGAGATGCGGGAGCCGGGCAGGGAGCTGCGCTGGGGGACCTGGGAGCGGGACCAGACGCGCCCCGTCACCTGGGCCTGCGCTGCGCGGTTCAGCCCCTCTTCTTCCTCCTCCTCCTCTTCCTCCATCCCGGGCTCCGGCTCCGGCTCCGCACGCCGCGCCCCGGACAGGCTGGAGCCGGCTCCTGCAGGGCGGGCCCGGCAGGGACGAGGAGCCGGGCACTCGCCGCAGCTCCTCCCCCGCAGCGCTGCAGCCCGCCCCCGGGGCCTGGGCCCAGCTGGCAGCGCTGCGGCAGAGCCCGCCTGGGCAGAGACACCTGCGGGGGTCACGGCCTTTGCCGGGGCCGTGTGCGCCCTCCAGTGCTAGTTATGTCCCGGCCAGGGGCCTGGCCCAGCCACCCGGACCCTGCGTGCCTCGGCCGGGCTCCTGCCCGTGCCCGGCCTCCCCGCAGCCTTTGGGAGCCCAACGTGAGTGCAAAGCTGCCGGGGCCAGGCCCCTGCCCCATGCCAGGGGCTCCTGGGCGCTACCCGGTACCAGCCATAAACAGCAGCCGTGACTGCCTAGCCCGCAAACCCTGAGTGTGCCTCCATCAGATCAGCGCAAACACGCGTGGGGCTCAGCGCTGGGGTTTCTCGTGGCACCGTGGGCACTGCACACAGAGACCCGTCTGAACAGGGCACTGCCTGTGGCACACAGGTCTGCAAACGCTAAGGGACAGATGAATGCAGTGCTGCTCCCTCACTGCGTAATGTTCCTGGGAAACTCTCCCACACACTGGTCCTAGAAGACAGGAAAAAAAGATCTGAATGGGAGAGGGTGATTATGGGCCCTTCAAAGTTCTCCCTTCACCCTCCCTCACGCACACATTTTGCCCTGGCTTTTCAGGGGTGTCCCAAGCTTTGTCTCCCGCCATTAGACAGTGATCATAGTAAGCACCTGCACTGACAGAGCAGCCCTTTTAAAATGAAGGAAGAAAACACCTACTTGATAAACCTTGTATATATTTTTAAAAATATATCCTCCCGTTTGCAGAGGGGTGGGGGGAATCAGGTCTGTCTCTGCAACTGAGGGAGGGCTGTAGGATGAGTGAAGATGTATAGGTAGGGGTCTGTGTAGCTTTTACAATTCAAGTCTTCAGGCTGTGAGCAAGTAGTTATTTTGCATAATGGGGAAGGTGTCTTGATACACAACACCTTTACTTTGCAAGAAAAATATTAGATCTGTACAGTGCAACATGAGCTATAGTGATACACAATACCTTTACTCCATCAAATCTTTGGTTGCCTGTAGGAAAAAAATCAGAGGCATAATTTTTCCAGGGTTAGACAGTTGCTAGTATTTGAAAGGTGTAAATTTCAAATATGTTGGTAGTTGCCAGGATGAACTTCAGGAAGAAACAGCCAACTTCTTTGGTTAATCTTTCAAGAGCTGTTAACACATTTTATAGTGCTGAATTGTTAAAACACATGGTAGTTTTCAAGTGCCCTTTGTTTCTTCGAGAAGTGAGATCTGGTCACCCACTTCTGCAAGGCTGGAGCCTTGTCTGCATTTTAGGAATTTGGCATGTTAACCTCGTGGTTACTTGACAGTGATAAAAATGCCTGTTTTCTGTCTGCACAAGTGCTTCACCATTGCTCCCACCAGTGAAGCTGTACTGGTGCTGGTGGAATGGTGGGAGATCTCCTGAATAACGCTAAGGAAGACATAGCCTTACTTTGATTGTTTGTCCCTGGTTTGGAGGCAGAAGACCAGAACATAATGGAGCACTGTTGCTTTCAAACTAAAGTACCAACTTTAATCTGCTATCCATACATGGGAGATTTGATTACTTAGTTCCCCCATATATATTATTAGAAAATTCTTGTTCCTTCAAATATCTTCAAATCAAATTCCAATTTTGAAAAGCCGGAGGTACTGTAATCTCTGTGGGAAACTTCTGTCCAGCTGTCATAACGAGTATTGCCTTAATTCATGATTATGTTGTTGCTGCAGACCAAAGTCATACACTCTCAGAAAGGGATAATGGGCTAGATATTAATCTCAGTTACATCAGTGTAAATCCATTGTAACTCCATTGACTTCAGAGTACTTACAATAGTATATATCCAAAATAACAAGAGATCAGAATCTGTCTCTCTGTGAACCTTTCTTACTTTCCCCATCAGTTTTCCCTTTACCCTTCGTTTGTGGTATATGAGTAGGTGAAAATAACCTGTTCCCATGCCTGATAAAGAGGGAGTTCTCAAATCACAAATTCAGATAATCTTGGAGACTGAGCATCTCCATGCCTCAGAGCCTTCCTTTCAAAATCAGCATCTTACTATTATCACACATTAGGATTCTCCCTCACTTTCCCAGTCTCAGTGTAGAATTTCCCTCTTCTCCCTCCTCCACAGGTCCTGCATCACAGGCTTTTTCCTAGTCTGAGGAAACTTTTGGGGATCTCCCTTCAGAACCCATCAAAACAGCTCCCAGTGTAGCGAGAAAGTTGTCTGCAGCATGATATGAAGCGTTACTTCCCCGAAGTACTGAATATGCTATCTGTGCACTGTTCTTGTCCCCGGCCAATGCAGGGACATGGCAGTTGGAGCTAACCCTTGGCCAGTCCTTGCTTTAATTTGTTTTGGGTAGTCTGTTATGATCCCATCAATTAATTCATTATTTCTTTAAAATACCTTGATACTTGCAGAAGTTGCTATACAAATCAGCAAATAGTAAAATACAAAATTGTACCAGTCTCTGCAGTTTGCTCATTCTTCGTTGGTATGTTTCCTGTCTGTCTTTTTCTGATGAAAGAGTCTCTTGTACTTTGGGAAGAGTTCTAGAGGATTATTTAAATCTCCAATGCAGGAATGTGTGTATTTAGTCATCCATTAGATTGCGTTACAGACACTTGACTTGGCAGGTGTTTTGCCAACTGAATGTACTTCTCAAAAAGGGGTTGCGGGATCATAGATGAGGGCTTAGTTGGTTGGCTGGTTGGTTTTATTGAAAACATATGATATGTATGCTGGGGAAAAGCCTGATATTCACTTAGGTAGTTTCATCCTTATGTATATCTGCCAGATTTCTTTAGACTTGACTTCCTTATACAATTTGGGGGGTTAGAGGACCTGTCTGGGTCAAGCAACATTACGCTGGGGTTTGCACTGCATCCTTTTCTGCCAAAGAGCATGTTCTGGGGTTTTACTGCAGGATTCAGAACTTTTTAGAGGTTTGTTAATTCTACAAGTTTGAGCATGACACTGCTACTGTATTTAGCAAGAGGAGATACATCTTCTGTTTTGGATTACTGTAAGCACCTGTGGTCAGGAACGGTTTCATACAGTACTGAGAATGCTGTCAGTGCTTTACAAATAATAATGATAATCACCTACTATGCAATTTAACAAATGGTGGAACTGGGGAGAGTCTAGCTCCTAATCCAAATCTTAACTTTTCCATTGACAGCCTGCCACACACACAGAGTTTGAGCTTGGGGCAACATCTCTGGCATTGCACTGTTGCCTCTTTTAAATAAAGCGTGTTTCTACTTTGAAAAGTGATTCAGGAAAAATAATACAATGGGGTTCCACAATTAATGCTTTACTTGATGTCACTACTAAATGTGTTCAGATTAGAGGTAAAACAATGTTTTGACAGCCGTGCAAACTCAATCTGGGATCTGAAAGTCAAGCTGGGTTATTTCCTTCCCTCAAATTAATACCAGTAATGAAAGTTCTGCAGGTCAGTTTAGGCCCTTGGTGATATCTATGCAACTCCACTGTAATGAAATTATGCCTCAGTGACATCTGCACTACCTAATTGTTGTCTTTGGGTTTGCCCAGGACATGTATAATTGATAGGTAGGGGTCCATCATTTCATCCACAGAAAGAAATAGAATCCTGCTCAGACTAAATGGGATTAAAAACTAGTAAAAGCTTTGTTTTGTCACTAACATGGCATACATGACTTTAAATACACAAAAAGCATATTTGATTAATAAGGCGGCGCTGTTCTCACACACACACTTTTCAGAGTAGCACTGCATTTTAAAGTACTTTCTAAATTACATCAACATTTGAAATCTGATGTTGTAAATAATCTTAGCATGGGAGGTGGGGGGGGTGGCAGGCTCTCATGGGGAAGGGCAAGTATATCATGTAAAAATATCTATATTTAGTTAATTTTGGTGGTTACATACAACAGGGTAATTTTGTGCAAACTTCCTCCAGAAAACGTGTCAGTACATATCTCACTCCTGGCTCTCTTTTGAGCAGTGTCAAAGAGCATGGTGATTTTTGCTTTATGCAAAAATGTCAACCAAGGAATCAGCTGAAACCAAATATATCTACTTAACACTTGACCTACCGGTCTGTTAGTAGTAAAAGGGGGCGGGGGGCTTAGATCTGAAACTGAATGGATTTGGGAAAGGGTCCCACTTTGCCACACATCCTGAGTACACCATCATTTTTCTATTTTGAGTTTTAAAGCATAGCTGAGTTATGGTTAAAAATTAAAAGTCTGTGTAGCAGTGAAAAAATAAGAGCTGCTCAAGCTAAATTCTAACAGCGGAAAAGGTTTTATTATTTCACCTCGAGGAACTCTGCACTTCAATGGCTGGCTTCCTTCACGTGACCTTTCATCCTTTTCTTTGGCTTATTTTTCACTAGCTTGTGAGTTTTACACTCTGCTTTCTGACGGCACTGGTTACACACCATTAAATTAGGACACAGTAACCGGGAGGCATGAGCCAGTGGGTCTGGCTGAAATAGCAATTGTTTATTACTCCAGAAATGGTTGTATTTTCCCATCTGGGTACCAGAAGACAGTAAGGCAGTAGTAGCAACAACAGTGGCAAAGTTGCTTCTCTCCTGTAAGTGAGAGTCCCAAGCATTTGAAGTTACAACCAACAGTAATAGCTGAACTGCTACTTCATATAATATCTGATCTTTATATATAATGATGGTATTTAGCATCTTTCATCCTGAAGGATCCCAAAGCTCTTTTAATTACTGTGCAAACTAGATAGGGATCATATAATTAACCACTGAAGTACTGGGATGTAGCATAAAGTAACAGTTTTGGATATAAGCTGAAGAATCTCATATTCATTTGAAATCAGAGTAATTTAGGGAGGCAGAATGTACAGGTACTGTGATTCCCTACCTAGCCCATAGACCTGACACAGGTGTGATGGAGTGCTCACCCCACCCACCTGCAGAAAAGGTTTATTGGGCCTGAGTGGCC